AATGAAGGATTATCAAGAATAAGGTGCAGTTTCCGAATAAATTCCACACGACAAAATCAGTTTTAAAGATTTGAAAGAAAATTTGTCAATGTTCAATGATTGATGTAGGTTCTGTAGAGCGGAGCTGATATTGAAGAATTCCAGAGTTCAACCCACCCTTTCAAATATTAAGAAGCTTAGAGAAGCATCTGCTCTGCTTAGTTGACCTTCATGATATTGCTNAGTGTATAGAGGCCAGAGGCTGAAATACCTTTTAAGGTGAAGTTGAAATAACACAAGAGGAAGGATAGAGAAAAAGGCGGGAGCTAAGTGGAGATGAAATAATAGGGAAGGAAGGATAAGAGAAATAGGGGTTGCTGGGGAAAGGTAAAATATTAAGGGGAGGAAGGATAAGAGAAATAGTGGTGCTGAGTGGAGATGAAATAATAGGGAATGAAGGATAGAGAAATAGTGATTGCTAAGTGGAGATGAAATAATAGGGAAGGAAGGATAGAGAAATAGTGATTGCTAAGTGGAGATGAAATAAAAGGGAAGGAAGGATAAGAGAAATAGTAATTGTTAAGTGGAGATGAAATAATAGAGAAGGAAGGATAAGAGAAATAGTAATTGTTAAGTGGAGATGAAATAATAGGGAAGGAAGGATAAGAGAAATAGTGATTGCTAAGTGGAGATGAAATAATAGGGGGGAAGGATAAGAGAAAATGTGGTTGCTGAGGGGAGATGAAATAATAGGGAAGGAAGAATAAGGGAAAAGGTGGAGCTGAGACGAACTTTGAGTTTAAAGAAGGTGATTAGAAGGAATAATGATCGATAAACCTGTTTAATCAATGCCAAGGTAATCTGCATCTGCGAACTTGAAATTTGCAAAGAATGCCAACGTGTTGAACCGTGAGCAGATGTTTGCAAACCTGTTCACATTTTAGATACATTTTCCTTCAACATAATAATGATCATGTCTGATCTCATATAAGTTGAAACTATTTTACGTTATGTGGACATTCTCTTGATCTAGATGACCTCCTTGACCTTCTTGACCTTCCTAACTTCCTTGACCTTCTTTACCTTCTTGACTTTCTTGACCTCTTTGACCTTCTTGACCTTCTTGACCTCCTAGATCTCCTTGGCCTCATTGACCTCATTGACCTCCTTGACCTCCTTGACCTCTTTGACATCCTTGAAATCCATTTTCTCCTAGTTCTGTTTGACCTCCTTTAAATCCTTGATCTCCAAGAATGTCTGTATAAGATTATAGAATCCTATACTCCTAGCGTGGGGTGTTGAATACAAAGATATGTAGTATAAAAGCATAATAGTGGCGCAAGTCTTAGGTATTGAAAACCATTCAACCAAACTCAGGAATCTAGCATCTAGGATCCAAGCCTTTCCAAGCCTTTATATCATAGGAATTTTTGGCAACAAAATGCTGAGTAAAGCCGGGTTGATGTATATACTTTAAGATTTCAATACAGGAGTTTTTGTGATACAAGCCAAGTAGCTGAATCTGATTAAACCATACTCTGTCATCAAAATGGAAGTTCTAAAAAACCCAGAACCCCCCCCCCCCACTCCACCCAACCCTCATAAAAAAATAAGAATAAAAATGAGGCGTCATAAGTAAATTAATTTTACAGAAAGTGGACACAGTGAGACTCATTAAACTGTGGAAAAGGAAGACGACTTTCGGATTCTAGTTAAGGATTTAAATAGTTCAACAAACATAAAACAGAAATTGTGCAGTGCACACAGACCCGTCTCACAAAGTAAGTTGGTTATTAAGAAAGTGGTATTTGCTTTTCAAACAACATCAAATACATATTAGATTTCTTAAGCGTTGTTGTCACTGTATCCCTCTGCTGATTAAGCCAATAAGAGTATAAGAAAACTGTGAAACGATTTCGTCTTTGTTCTTCCTTTAATCTAAGAATCGCCAAGGTTTTTGTAATTTTCAATCGTTTCCAGTACTGATATATATATATATATATAGTATTGATATTTCTAAAAAAATGTTCCAGGCACTTTTCAGAGAAAGTCCAGTTGAAAATTACAAAATCCTAGGCTGAGAGAATTCCACTGTTGTCTGGTTCTCAATGTTTATTTAAATTTAAAAAAAGTATTTTGATCACTATCCTGGACTAGCTCTGTGTTCTAGTACCGACCCTGATACTTGTAATCTGATACACATACTCCTTGTATTATACTCCTACAGTACAAGAGGAATGTAAAACTATTGATTAAACCCTTCCCTACAGGGTAAACCATTGACAAAGAAATCATGGAATGGTTTTGATCCTGTCCGACAAGTGAAACCTTCTTTCTGGTAAAGGGGACAAATTAATGAAAATCACATATTTAGAATATCTTTTAAGAGGGAAAATTATGAATTTAATGAAATAAATGTTTAAATAAATAGACATTCTTTATTCTGAATAAGGGTTAAGAGTCATGATGTGCCTTTAATTGTTTTTTTTTTTGCCGATATTTTCTACCACGGTCAAAACTTTGCATAGCACTAGAAGAAAAATTGTTTATTACATTTGCTTTTATTTTATTTCATTTGTCAAATTTGTACCCTGACAGAAGATTTATGCAAATACAGATCCAAAAACGATCGAAAACGAACGTTTTCTAACGAACGTTTTTGAACTTTTATTTAGGATAAAGATATAGCTCAGTTTAAGAAAAGCAAAAATTAACATAAAACAGAAATGCTCAGAAGTTTTATTAGTTTATGAGGAAAACCAGATCCAAATCGATTGACAACACTAGTTTTCATTAGTTTGCATGAGTTTCCTTATAGTAACTCAGGAACAGGTTTTATGTTTGCTAAAATTATGTTATGCGCGTGGACCCGGATTTATGTAATGTGTTTTATAAGATTTGCAATACCTACAAAACCTGTATAGTGCATACCACCAAACATTGAGAATTGTCTAGACCTAGTTCTAGACCTGGAGCAGGAATGGTTTATCTTATGTCAAGATAGGAACTGATCTTAACCTTTGCAATATATTCAACATCATCATGTCTTCTTTCTGCATTTGTGTTTCTTGTAACTTTATTCTAAACTAAGCTGCATCTCAATTTTAACTTGTAAATTCTGCTCTTTTATCATTTTTTTCGTTTATTCTGAAAATTCGAATTTTTTTCAATTCTAACCATCCATGAACCTTCCCTGGGACCATATGTGAGGTCCCAAAAAAAGTTGGACCCGATCGTTTAAGCCATTTTGACGTTTATCGTTTACAAAAAAACACAAAACAAAAAACAGGAAAAGAGAAAAGCAAAGTTGTCAACCATTAACACTAAGACCCCCCCCTTATGTAATATCGTCTTCAACCTAAAGCTCCTCTCGGAGACAAAACCAAACCAAACAATCTCTAAAATCCCTCAATCGATGTACTCCCTCGGGAGTTCTTCTCAAGTAAAGATTGCAACCTATGCTGGTGAAGGCAAAGTAGTACTCACCACAGCAGTTAAACTGAGAATCCATGGCAAGACCCTGAAGTTGTCCACAATAGAGGAAGACCTCAACAACGGTTCGGCCTTCTCCTTCTCCATCCCTCTCAAGTGGAGGAACCTCACGAAGACCTCAACATCTAACCATGACGGTCATGTATCCATTTTACTAGGGGGNGAAGTTGTAGAGATGAACTCAATGTATAAATTCAGAATGTTCCAGAGTATGCATATTGCACAATGATGATAAAAATATAGGGCTTGTGAAGGTAGAAACTGTTCGTTGGAATTTATAATCTTGGAGATTATAACAAAGTTGTCCACAATAGAGGAAGACCTCAACAACAGTTCGGCCTTCTCCTTCACCATCCCACTCAAGTGGAGGAACCTCACGAAGACCTCAACATCTAACCATGACGGTCATGTATCCATTTTACTAGGAGGAGACAATCATCGTTTCTTCCCTACTGAAATTGAACGAGATCCCTTGGGAATGGCACTCTACCAGAGCACCATCACCAACAACTGCATGGTCTATAATATTTTTCCCCAGACAGGTCATATTCCAATACCAAGCTCAACTCTTCATTTTTTTTGATGGCTCCCTACAGGGTTATGGAGCCTGTGTATATGCTCACTCTGGCGATCAGTTCAATCTCCTCTCCAGCTCCTCAAAAATATTGGGAAAGTCTGCATTCTCAGCTCCACAATCTGAGATGGCAGGAGCATTACTCGCCTCAAGGATGGAACAGAAGATAAAGCAAGAGTTGTTCAACGTCTCCCTCTCCCCTCCTATGTTCATTGGAGACTCAGAGATTGTTTTAAAGATGATCGCTAAAAATGATCCGGCTGGAAACCCCGTATTTTATGGAGTCAGGTTGATGGAAATCCTAGCACAGTCATCACCCGACAACTGGTTCTGGTGTCCTGGAAACCTCAACCCTGCTGACCTGCTCACCAGATCTGGAACCAGCTGCGCGCAGGTCAACTCTCAATTCTGGTTGAACGGTAGTTTCTTACCTCAGGACAAATCCTCATGGCCCATCACAATCTGTTCTTCCATCACCTCAGGCGAAATTCCCACCAAGTCGGTCAACCTCGCGAGATTAGCCCCAAACCACCCTTCCCGGGAATACATTTTGAGCCTTCTGCATCACGAACAGAGCCTCGCCACTGTTCTCCGTGCCCTGAACCTCCTCCACAAAGTTTGCAGATCCTGGAGAAACGACCCCAATCCTACTGTTACCTGGAGTTCCATCAAATCATCCATCAAGTCCTCTGTCCTCAAGTGTTTTACCACGGAGTCAGTGCTCATCATCGCCAACAACAAGATGAAACACCTTGTTATCCAACTAGTGGACGGAGTATAATATGTGTTGGACCGCAGCTTCCGTTCCAGAATCGGGGTCCCCCTCATCTGCAAGAAGACCATCCTGGCCAAGTGCATCCTGAACGATGCCCATGCTGATCTGGGCCACGGTAGAGATGTGCTCCAGGTGCTTACTCACATTCAAGCCAACTTCTTCATTCCTGGTATTCGCAAGATGATCACGGCTCTGAAAAAGTCTTGCCCTGGATGCATCAAACTGAACCAGGTTCCATTCGCGACATTCGAGGCCGACGTCCCTGACGTCCTCAAATCAATTCAGCCTACTTTCTCCTACTGTCAGGCTGATATTTTCGGACCCGTATTTGCTCACAAAGATGGTATCAAGGCCAAGAGGTGGATATTGGTCATTCTCTGTCTTTCCAGTCGCGGGGTGCACCTAGAGATCCTACACAACTACAGCTCCCAAAGCATCACCAGAAGATTCAACAGAACCTTCGCCCTGCGAGGCACACCTCGCATCATTTGGATTGATGCCGGTCTCAACATTGTTAAGGCTGGCAAAGACCTGGTTAACACTGAGATGAAGGTCATCTCCAGCCTCAACCTGAAGTTCACCTCCATTGAATTTAGAACTACTCTTCCCAAACACCATGCAGAGATCGGAGCTGTTGAAAGAATAATCGGCTCTATTAAGAACACAGTCAGCAAGTCACTCGTCGGCCCTGACCAACTGACAATGGACGAGGAGGAATTGCTCACCTGGACCCATGTTGTTATTGAAAAACTCAACAACAGACCTCTTATCCTTGGAGCTCCACTAGGAATCACCCTCACTCCCAAACACGTTCTCCAGGGGTTCAGGGAAGGTTTCGGAGATGAAGTCAACCCGGCTGCTCCTATCAACCAACAGATCTCCAGGTGGAATGTAGCTCTCAACACGTTCCACTCTCTATGGGAGCAGGAATATACCCGACGCAGATTCACTGTCACCTGGAAGAACCAGGGTAGCCTTCCACAAATCGGAGATATAGTCCTGTTCAAGAATGAACCCATATACAAGAATCCTATCTCTGCAGCCAGGGTGGAACAACTCCTTTGTAGAAAGAACGGAGACGTCTATGGCGCTACTATTAGCCACCGCCGTGAAGTAGGAGGGCGGAAAATAGTAGTAGACAGACACCTCAACCAACTGTTTCCATTCATGAACCTGGAAACTCAGAACCCCCAGGAGACTGTCCACAGCCTCACCTCGGAATCAGCAGAAGCAAGGAATTTAACCTCAGCTCCAAATTCCAGACCAGAACCAACACAAGATGAAATCCACCCGAAGCTCACTGAAATCAATCAATAGAACTACACCCAGCATCAACGCAGGAATCGACTAATTAAACATTTTAATTTTTTTTAGAAAACAAGCAGAAAAGTTTCAATTCTAGCAAATTAAGTTCCCTTAAAATTAACGATTCTTGAAGTCGAAGGAATTACTAGCATTTCTACTTTAACTTAAATAATGATCTTTCTGTTTAATTAATCCTTGCAATTTTAATTCTTCATTCTAATTCATAATCGAGATCATTCTCAGTTTGCTGTTAATTCTTATTTGATAAAAGGAAAAACACAGAAATATTCATCCTAGCAATCAAATTTCAAAAATGTGTACACCGTGAAGTTATTTACTACATTATTCTACCCTCATCAAATATCCGCTTGTTAACCACAGTATTAATTAATGTATCTCGAAGTATTACTCCTGTTTATTTCAATCGATCAATCTAGTACCTATCAATCATTCAAACTATAGGTTTCAGTATATTTAATGGTTTTCCTTTAATTCTCGTATGTTACCTTAACATCCTCGTACCCTGCCTGGGTCCAGTGTCAACCATTAACATTAAAACCCCCCCCCCCCTCCATGTAATGTCGCGTCAACCTAAAAGCTCCTCTCGGAGATGAGAAGCCAAACCAAACAATTCCAGCCCGCTTTTCTTCTTTGTTCTCCGATAACGGAGTGTAAACGTTTATTAATTGTGAACCACTTCAAAGTTAAGCAAGAATATTTCATATAAAGAATTAGTGATATTCCTCAACATTTAATTGTTACTTTTTTCAGAAGTTTTAATGTATAAAAAGCGTCTTCGGACTTTTCGACAGATAGCCCCCAAATAGCCTATTAGATCGTAAGAATCTTTTTATTATAAATTCATAAACCCTGTAATAATTATCTATCATTATTCATTTCATTTTTTTTAGGAAATAAAGAGTTTTCTGCATTATCGATTTTGATTTGTGGGTTATACCTTGTCTTTCTGTTCATCGTCAGAATCTTGTTCCTTAGCGACAACACGCCTATATAATGTTTTTATTATTGTCTTTGGTATTTAACAACTCAACAAATGATGGAAAAAGACATTCTAAATTATTTACCAACTGTCATGTTTCGTGGGACACCCTGTATCATAGACTATGGGTAACCATATGTCTAAAATTATTTTGTCCTCAAAATGATTCTTGCATAAGCGTTCTCAAGAGTCAAGTATATCCGATTTATGAAAAATCTTAGTAAATATTCTAAGAGACTAACTAATATGTGTATAAATTTTAAGTTAAACAACGGTTTGATTTAAACATTTATCTGAGTAACAATGGGGAAGACATCGTCGTTTTTTCATCATTAAAAGTGTTGAATTCTGTAAATTGTGTTCATTGTTTTAGTTGCATAAAATCCGCAAATCACTTTTATGGACAAATTGAAAAATAAAAATAGAAAAATTTCAGTGGTTTTCTTATTTTTGCTTTAAAATAAATCTGAAATCCATTAAAAAAGACGGCTTTATGAAACCTCAACAGCAACGTGTTGGTTTATTAAAAAAGACATTTGTTACTATCTTTGGTTCACTCACAAGATGCGTGAAATTTGCATGGATTTTATGATGCGCTATCTTTAATTTTGGCAAATATTCCAATAAATATTTGAAATTTTGCAAATTTGCAATTTTTTTGCAGATGAAAAATGTATCAAAATTTAATATTTGTATAACAATAAGAAAATATATAGGAGTGGGGTTGACCTTCAAAAGTAAGCCTAATATTCGAAAATGAGTTCGGTCTCTCTTCCAAAGATTTTCAAAAAGATCTGAAATATTATTTTATCTGATAGGGAAAGGTACTATAAGTACATTTTCAGTACATTTTGAAGATTAAAAAGCGTTAGTTTTAAAGCAAATGTTTCATCGAAGACCCACATATAAAGTTCACTGGACGTACAGTCCCGTATTACCTCATATAATCTTTATGTGTACTGTACTGCTTGCCCTGACTTGTTGAAATTCGGCCAAGTACATGAAATTAACTGGAATGTACCATGGACNTCAACAAATGTTCAACAAATATTCAACAAATGTTCAACAAATATTCAACAAATGTTCAACAAATATTCAACAAATGTTCAACAAATATTCAACAAATGTTCAACAAATATTCAACAAATGTTCAACAAATATTCAACAAATGTTCAACAAATATTCAACAAATGTTCAACAAATATTCAACAAATGTTCAACAAATATTCAACAAATGTTCAACAAATATTCAACAAATGTTCAACAAATATTCAACAAATGTTCAACAAATATTTAACAAATTTTTAGCAAAACATTTTTAGATTACAAATTATCATTTTCTAATTAAATTTAAAATTAAAAGTTTAGTGTATTTAAGCAAAAAAATCAAAATCAATACAGATAGACTCAGGGTTATTGTGAACAAAAAACCTTAAGTCTGGAAAAGACGACAACTTTTTTATTGTTATTAATCTAAGAAAAAGAACATATTTGATTTATAATTTATATTCATAATCCATATTTATAGATTTTCTGTGTTTTTTTTTGTATTTTTTAACCATTTACTTCTTAGTTCTTCATATATTCTTTTATGAAAAGAAATAAAAGATTTTTTTTTAAATTCCAAGAACATAGGACCTCCCCTATAGTTACTACATAGGTTGACCACAGATAAAACTATTATCAGTAAATATATTTGCGTCTATTTGTTCAAAAACATTAAATTATTGCATTAACCTTAAATGTTATCTTTCCAAATTTAAACAATAATTAAACAGTTAGGAGCTAGCCATGAACCTGGGTACTTTTCTAATAGCGGGGCTTTTATTATCATTTGTTGCCACACAATCATTGGAGGTATTTATAGAATAAAGGAAACTTTTTGCAATAAACAAAAATGATAAAACTATTTATCTCAACACAAAATGTAAAGAAATGATCATTTTTGGATCATTTAGGAAAAAATCTTCTAAATTTTGGCGTAGTTTAAAAAAAAAAATATTTACAATAAAACATTTTGAAAGTTGAGAAACTTTGTTTGAATTTTGTCAAATGTCAATTAATATATTTCATTAGAGAAAAAAAGATGAACTAATATAAATTATTAGGAAAGATTGAGAACAACTGTTCAAAGTTTGTTGAAATCCCCAAGTGATGATTTCTCATTAGAATCTTTCCCTGAGGAGCTTCAAGCCTTACTTCCATATGCTCGCCACCTTAACCTTAAGAAGCCTCAGAAGCTTCCTGGAGAGGGGAGGGATGCTCTGTGTACAGCTTGTGTGGTGGCATTAGAAGCAATTATTGATCTCTTCTTGATTGGAGCTAGTCCGGATCTTCTTGAAGAAGCAGCACTTGTTGTATGTGATCTGTTTAATATAGAAGATCATGATGTTTGCAAAGGAGCAATCCACAATTATGTTCCACAACTTCAATATATTTTTACGCAAGGGAAAGGGACCAGTAGAGAGGCATGTGCCATACTTGTTGGAAATGATTGTGGAGCAGTGGACGAAGTTAATGCCTGGAGTGTTAAACTACCAGATATTGAGAAGCCTGTTGTTGTAGAGCCAGCACTCCCTGCTCCAGGTTCACCCACAAGGTGGAAGATCCTTCAGCTTACAGATATTCATCTGGATCTCAGGTATGAAATTGGATCCAATGCTGCATGCGGTACTCCTAACTGCTGCATGAATGTTTCTGGAATAGCTCCTGATGCTGAATCAGCAGCTCAGTATTGGGGAGACTATAGATGTGACTTGCCTCATTGGACCTTCAAGCACATCCTTGAGCACATACGAGATACTCATGGAGAGGAGTTTGAGTATATCATAATAACTGGTGATTACCCAGCTCATGATGTTTGGCTACAGTCCAGAGATAACAACTTAGCACATACCAAGAAAGCCACTGATTTAGTTAAAGAAGTTTTTCCTGACAAACCTGTGTTTCCCTCATTAGGAAACCATGAATCCTTTCCTTGCAACAATTATCCCACCAGCAATGTTGAAGGGGAAAATGATCCAAGCTGGCTTTATGACACTCTTAGTGAATATTTCTTAGACTGGCTTCCAGAGGAAGCCTTAGCACAATTTAGAGTTGATGGATACTACAGTATCAATTACGGAACTGATTTCAAAATTATTGGAATCAACTCCAATATGTGTCTTACCTATAACTTTTTCCTCTTCCTGGAGTGGCAGGATCCTGGAATGCAGTTAGCTTGGTTGATAGATGAACTACTTGAAGCTGAACTGGAAGGAAGGAAGGTTCATCTGCTCAGCCATATTCCTCCTGGTAATGATGATTGTCTTGGCTCCTGGGGTAGAGAGTTTTCCAAGATTATAAGTAGGTTTGAGGGAACAGTCATGGCTCAGTTCTATGGGCACACACATAATGATGAGTTTGTTGTGTTCTATGATATGGATAATAGCTCTAGGCCGGTTAATGTAGGAATTGTAACTCCAAGTATCACTACATATACAGGATTGAACCCTGGATACAGAATCTACACAGTGGATGCTGGATACGAAGGAGCATCTCATAGAATTCTTGGCCATGATACATATATCTTTAACATGACTGCTGCTAATATTGCTGGACCTGACCAGGAACCCATCTGGTACAAACTCTATTCTGCCCCTGAAGATTTGGGAATGGAAAATTTATTTCCAGCAGATTATGATGATTTTGTGCGAAGGATGGCTGTTGATGATGAACTTTATGCACAATTTGTAAAATTCTTCAACAAGGACAGCTACGGAGACGCAACCCAAAAATACAAAACTCTTTGTCCTCTTTTGACCACTTCCAACCTTGATAAGACTAAATGTGAAGAAATTCTTGGTTCTACTCCGGATCTATAGATTTAGTTAAAAATGTAAATTTTACAAAATTTATTTATTTTGTTTTCTCTTTTATTCCTTGGTCTTTATAACCTGGACTAAAGCTTGTTTTATGAGCAATTCAATTAAAATTCAATTTAGTGCGTAGATTGTTTCCTCTAGAAAGCAAA